GTTCTCGGGGCGCTTCTCCGTTCCTTCCATCACCTCCAGCAGGTCATAGTGGTCAAAGATGTTCTCCATCTTGAAGGACCATTCAGCAAAGTTGTCACCGTTGAACTTGTCAAGCCCAAACACCCTAGGCTCATCCCTAGGTGGGCCAAGACTTGGTTGCATGGGCGCCATGGCTGAATCACGGGGTTGGCCTTGAGCTTGAGCTTCTCCACTGCCACCAGCACCTCTGCCACCCCTTTCCTCAGGTCCAGACATTGTCGAAACTGCTCCAACGGGCTCTGATACCACTTGTTATAGTCACAATAGGCTTGAATGTGCCTAAAACGAAAGATAGAGAGCACAGACGGATTTCTGCACAGCGGCTTCAAACGTTGATAGCGTTCTGCTCACAGCTGCAAATGACTTGATTCAAATTGGATCTGGAGCGTCTTCACGTCGTCTACAATTATCAATTTAGATTGCACGATTTGATAAAGAATTGACGACACAGCGTTGGTTTGAACGAACGGTACTATGGCAGCCACTATAGTCTTAGAACACAAGATAGGAAGAGTTACGAGTTGGGAATGACTCCCAGCTCCTACAAACCCCAAGAGCCGAGGTACAGTGATGTGGAACAGTGCCACACTGTCCCCAACCACGAAGGGTCTCGAAACTACCCTTCACTAGGGCCTACACCAAGTGAAATATTACACTACACAAAGTAATGTAACTATCTTCAATATCTTGAGGTGTACCCTTTTGGCGAGCTTCGAAATCACTTGAGGCTTGACACCAAGGCTCGGGCTCTTCATCACAAACTCATCCTTGAGTTCTTGATGGGTCTGCTGCACACACCTGCGACACGCCGAACGTTCGACACAGGACAAAATAGAAACCGCGCACGACAAAATAGAAACCGCGCGCGAGACACAAACGACCGCGTAACACGCGTCTAGCGATAACTCGCTATTGACTCGACACACACACTCGACATCATGACTCAACATTCACACACAATTATAAGCATGAAATATATATTATCCCATGCCCTCATACCATTCCATACACGCACACATTCACGCACACGGACAACAAGCCGAGTGCAAACCGTAGGGTTGCACCAACAGTCTGTCCTCCGTCCGTCGGGGGTGAGTGTGCTCTTGGCACGGACGTCCTTGAGGACAGACAGGAGGAGTTTGAGTGCTTTGCTGCTGCTTTACCTCATCTCGTGTCCATGCTGATTGCCCCTGAGGGAGACCCGGATGCACCAGACATCCTGACCCCACGCTCCTACGCAGAGGCGATGGAGGGTCCCTACTCCTCTCAGTGGCAGACAGCCATGGACGCAGAGATGGCTTCCTGGAAGTCCACAGGCACCTACGTCGACGAGGTTCCCCCACCTGGGGCGAACATCGTCAGTGGCATGTGGATTTTCAGGGTGAAGCGGCCGCCGGGTTCTCCGCCTGTCTTCAAGGCGCGTTACGTTGCTCGAGGCTTCAGTCAGCGAGAGGGAGTTGACTTCTTCCAGACCTTCTCCCCGACCCCGAAGATGACCACTCTTCGGGTTCTGCTGCACGTCGCTGCTCAGCGTGACTACGAGCTCCACTCTCTTGACTTCAGCACTGCGTTCCTACAGGGCAGCCTACACGAGGAGATCTGGCTGCGCCGCCCACCTGGCTTCACTGGGTCGTTCCCTCCTGGTACCCAGTGGAGCCTCCGGCGGCCAGTCTACGGTCTCCGCCAGGCACCCCGTGAGTGGCACGACACACTGAGGACTACGCTTGCGGCTCTTGGGTTTGCTCCTTCTACTGCTGACCCGTCGCTGTTTCTACGCACCGACACCACTCTGCCGCCGTTCTACGTTCTCGTGTACGTCGACGACTTGGTCTTTGCTACTGCTGACACTGAGGCACTCGCCCACGTGAAGTCGGAGCTGCAGAAGAGACACACGTGCACAGACCTGGGTGAGCTGACAAGCTATCTTGGCTTGCGGATCACCCGGGACAGAGCATAGCGCACCATCACCTTGACTCAGTCACACATGGTGCAGCAGGTCCTTCAGCGCTTCCGCTTCACGTACTCCTCGCCTCAGCCCACTCCTCTGCCTACTGGTCACTCGCTCTCAGCTCTGCCTTCGGATGAGTCCGTAGAGCCGAGTGGCCCGTATCCAGAGCTTGTGGGCTGCCTCATGTACCTGATGACCTGCACTCGACCTGACCTTGCATACCCTCTTAGCATCCTAGCGCGCTATGTCGCTCCTGGCCGTCACCGGAAGGAGCACATGGATGCCGCTAAGAGGGTGTTGCGCTACTTGTGCAGTACGTCGGGCATGGGGCTTGTGCTTGGAGGACGGCGCGACGTTGTCCTCACTGGACACTCAGACGCTTCTTGGGCTGACGACCAGGCTACGCAGCGGTCGTCTCAGGGTTACACCTTCAGCCTTGGCTCTGGCTCAGTGTCTTGGCGTTCTACACGCTCGTCTTCAGTTCTCAGCTCCAGTTGTGAGGCTGAGATCTACGCCACCGCCATGGCTGCACAGGAGCTACGCTGGCTCACCTACCTGCTGACCGACCTGGGAGAGCGGCCTCGTTCTCCTCCAGTGCTGTACGTCGACAACAAGGCCGCCCTTGCCTTGTGTCAGGAGCACAGACTGGAGCACAGAACGAAGCACATCGCTCTGCGCTACTTCCTTGCTCGAGAGTTGCAGCAGCGTGGTCAGCTTCGTCTTCGTTACGTGGCCACTCGGGCCAACACTGCTGATGTGTTCACCAAGGCGCTTCAGCCTTGTGACCATCAGCGTTTCTGTACTGTTCTAGGCCTTGTGCCTACTCTCCCTCACTTGCTCACTTCTTGACTCTGTTTGTACTGTGATCTCTATATATATACCTGCATGTTTACACTTGCTAGGTTGTGATCACTGTACCTCTTGTTATATTATCAAACTGCATGTGAACTGGTCTTGTGACCACTTGCTTGTGCTCGGAATTTGTGTGGTATCCTTGAGATCCACCCTGAGATTGTTTTACTTTGCCTTGCTTTGACTGGTCTGGTGACCCCTTGTTCTCCCCCACTTAGCCTATGGGGGTGTGTCAAACATTATATGTTTACATTGTGTAGGCTATAGTGGGTTTAGCCTTAGGGGGTACAACATTCTAGGGTTTCCTACTTGTACTCCCAATCTTGTTAGTTCAAACACACTTGTTCATTCTAGCAAACACATCTCGACGGACTCGTCGACCAGCACTCGTCGTCGAGCTCGCCGACGACCACTGTCGTCGACGAGCAAGTTCCGTCGACGATGTCGACCGGGTCCGGTCAAGCTGGTTCTCCTCGACCACCACTCCTGACGACCAGCGGGGACTCACTCGACGACCACTCTGTCGAGTTCTCTTGGTCGACGGCGAGGTCGGCTGCACCCAAGCGAGGGCGGGGCCTTTCTCTTTGACAGCGGTATCATGTGGGCCTGAAGAGGTTAGTGAGAGAGAAAAACGAATGTATAAATATTGTTCAGACTATTCTTTCTAATTATATACTCATCTACTTGTTTTTTGTTTGTTTGTTTGTTTGTTTGTTTTTTTTTTTTTTTTGCTCGATTATAATTATTCATTTTTTTTATTCGGTCATTATTGAGTCTTCTCTAAGATGCATTATATTCCATTGCACTTCTACACACACACCTACACCCTGAAGTAAGTTTGTAGAGCCCGCATTCTCTTGCCAAAATTCGTCCAAAGGTTTTGCTAGCACAGACCACTCGAGTAGGTCATTGCCATCAAAGGACATTGACTCAAGTAATCTGTCAAAGTTCTCAAGCGCCTTCCCGTCATTTGGAACGCCGCCCATGGTTGGCGGCATGGATCCCTTTTGCCCAGCCTGCTGCTGACGCCCGAACGACTCTGTACCCATTTGGACATTGCCAATACACATTTGGTCATCATCTGTACCAATTTGACTGTCACCCATGGCTGTTTGACCGTCAGACCTGTCAAGCTGACCACCACCCTTGCCAATCTGACCTGTCCTGGCCTTGCTGCAAGTTTTCCTGAGCAGATGTGACTGTAACGGATAGCATCTCCTTCCTGGCCTGCAGGTGTGACTGAAGCGAGAGCTGCGCTGCTGTTTCCATGGCTCCTGGCGCTGCCACGTCCAGGCTTGGGACATGGATCTTGGCCTGAGAATGTGCAGGTGATGCTGCTGTTGCTGCTGCTGCTGCTGCTGCTGCTGCTGCTGCTGCTGCTGCTGCTGCTGCTGCTGCTGCTGCTGCTGCTGCTGCTGCTGCTGCTGCTGCTGCTGCTGCTGCTGCTGCTGCTGCTGCTGCTGCTGCTGCTGCTGCTGCTGCTGCTGCTGCTGCTGCTGCTGCTGCTTCTGCTCGCGCTGCTATGGCTGTTGCTGCTGCTGGCGGTGGTGGGGATGCTGCTGATGCTGCTGCTGCTGCAAATGGTGATGCTGGTGCTGCTGCTGGTGACATAGCAAGGCTTGATGCCTGAAATCCTTACGCCAATTGCCACAGAAACAAGTCCGTGACTTGTGGCTGGTCCACATTGAAAGGCTGTATCAACTCCAAAGGTGAAACTGACAACGGTGACTGTACTGATGGTGCTGCTGGCAGCAACCATGTCGGTGACTGTATTGGTGGTCTTACTGGCACCAGATCTGCAGGTGACTGTAGCGGTGGTCTTGCTGAGACCAGATGTGCAGGTGACTGTAGCAGTGGACTTGCTGACACCAGATCTGCAAGCGATTGTATCAGTGATCTTGCTGAAATGAAATCTGCAGCTGACTGTATCGGTGGTCCTGCTGACACCAAACGTCCTGTAGCTTGAGGCATATACATTGGGGCTTGATGGCACGCGGTGTTAGGGGATGGTGTGCGGTGGGAGGAGGTGTGTTGCGATGGGGCGTACTGGGATGGCGAAGGATAGGATTGGCCACGTTGGGCTGGGGTGTGATAGGTCAGGGCATGGTTGGCCGGAGAGGTATCAGTTTGGCCAGGATAGTTCGACCCAGGATGGGTCGGGTTAGCCAGTGCTGTGAATACATGCCGCATAACCTGCAAAGGAGGAAAACGCACAGGAGGGGACATGGTGTCAACAGGAGAAAATGTAAGAAGACGAAGCACGCTAGTAACACGAATAAGAATAAGAAAAGAAGAAGAAAAAAAATACTATCAACTTTTATTTCGGTTATAGAATCCAAGTGGGCAGCTCCCATGGTGTTAGCTCCCATACTGTTAGGTAAGGGGACAGCTCCCATGGTGTTAGGTAAGGTGACAGCTCCCATGGTGTTAGGTAAGGCAGCAGCTCCCATGGTGTTAGGTAAGGGGACAGCTCCCATGGTGTTAGGTAAGGCAGCAGCTCCCATGGTGTTAGGTAAGGCAGCAGCTCCCATAGTGTTAGGTAAGACAGCTGCAGCAGCATGAACAGGAGACGAAACAGCGGGGACGGGCTCTTGTGGCGATGAAGCCCCGACTTGAGCCTGAGAAGCAACGGCGAGGTCTTTGCATGCATCCAATGTGTGCAGCCCTTCTGCTGAGTTGAGCACAGTAGTAATCGTAGCAGCAGCAGCAGCAGCAGCAGCAGCAGCAGCAGCAGCAGCAGCAGCAGCAGCAGCAGCAGCAGCAGCAGCACCCCCACCACCAGCACCACCACCAGTAGCACCGCCACCACCACCAGCAGCAGCAGCAGCAGCAGCACTGCCACCAGCAGCAGCAGCACCGCCAGCAGCAGCAGCACCACCACCAGCAACGCCTGAATCCATGCTTGCAGCAGGAGCCTGACCTGCAGCGCCTGGAACACCAACAAAGCTGCCGCCGCTGCTGCTGCTGCTGCTGCTGCTGCTGCTGCTGCTGCTGCTGCTGCTGCTGCTGCTGCTGCTGCTGCTGCTGCTGCTGCTGCTGCACGGGCCAACGACTTGAGTCGTGTGCAAGAAGGCACTGCTGCTATCAAATACCCCTTCTATTCGCATCGCTCCCTTCTCCAACAGTCCTTGCCTCTGGACCATCCGCGAGAGCACTACCTCCCATTCAGCCGGCGTCAGAAGCTCCTGCAGCAGCATCGCAACATCGCAGTTGCTGCTTTCGACAGCCTTGGCTTGAGCCGGAATCTGCCAGTCATGCGGACGAGCAACTGTTGAGGCTGCCGGGTCTATTTGTCCTGCTGGGCGTGCTGCAAAGGCTGAAGCTGCTACACCTGCTGGTTCTGCCGGTCCTGCTGGCCCTGACTGGCCCGTTGGGCCCGTCGGACCTGCTGGGCTCGGAAAGCGGTTCGGAAACTGGCTCGGAAAGCGCTGTGGCAGTCCGGGGTTGCTCTGTTGCACTCCTTGAGTGGCGCAGGTCGCTGTTAGCAACGGAGGAGCAGATGCAGCACGAGCCGCAGGCCAGGGCCCCTCCTGGCAGCAGCTGGTGCGGGGGCTCTCCACTAAACCCTCCGGCTCTGATTCCACACGCGTTGCCCTCTGCCGCTTTGAAGGATCGTAGCTCATCTCTGCCGGCTCTTTGCTAAGCGCCATGATCTGCTCACACACGCTTCTGAACGCCCTCTGCCGCGGCGTTGTGACACAACTCCTCTGCGAGAGGACTGCAGGTGCAAGGGAAGTGCAAGCCTCCTTGGGTTCAACTTGAATCAGAGAGCCATAAGACGGGATGAAGCCAGCGAGTGCTTTACCCGTTGCACCCATGGTCTTTCTGGGGCCGTGGGATGGCTCGTCGGAAATCCACAAAGGGATTGTCGTGAAATGTCCACTGCGCGATGCATTGGAAGGATTTTCTGGGGGGCGTTTCGAAGTTGGCTCAAGACTCGCTGGGTCGGAGTGAGGCTTCTGGAGGGCGGCAGAGAGGGGCTCTTTGTTGCTCTTCTCCTCTTTTGAAGCAGCAGCTGCGGTGCTTCCTTCCGCGGCGTCTCTGCGGCGGCGTCGCTTGAGACACAAAGAGGAAGGGTGGTTGTGGAATCCGGAGGTCGTCAGCCGCACCACCGTGCGCATCTCCATGCGGGCAGATGAAGGGAAATCTCCCGTTCCCACGCGGGCAGACGAATGAAAAGCTTCCTCCTTGTGCATATCCACGCGCTTGGGGCGAGTGGGGCCTTTTTCATCCTCCAAAGCAAAAGCGGCCACATAACCAGCAACATCAGCGGCATCAACCACAGCAGCAGCGGCGGCGGGAGGTGCGGTGTGCTTGCCGCGAGGCGGGCCGGGCATGCGGTCCTCCACTTTGCGCGCCGTGCATCCCGTGAGGGGGGGGGGAGAGGAGCGGGGAGCAGTAGAGAGGGAGTCATTCTCTGTTATACGGCCTTGCGCACACACGTGAAGTAGATCCTGGGAGGGGGGGGTCATGGGAGAAAGGTGCGTAGAAAGTGGGAGGCGATTCGTTGTTCCGGTCGCCTCATTTGAACGGCCTTGCACACACACGTGAGGTAGATGTTGGGGGGAGGGGGAAGGGGGGAGGATGGGGGGTGCTAGAGTGGGGATCTAACGTTGAGTACACAGCTTTCTCACGCACTAAACATAAATTCTGGTTGGAAGATTATGGGAGAGAATCAGCCTCTAAGTGCAGTGGAAGTAGTCGGGTTGAAGACATTCTTCATCTTCAGGGTGAAAGCAGAAGATTCCCGGTTCGAACCGGGTTCCCGGTTCAGCAGATCTCACCTTTTTACAGTCCGTTGGCAGAGCCATTTATGCGAGACCTTTTGCCAGCGAAAACGGCTAGAGTCTTCTACCATTTGTTTTAAGGGTGGACACGACGAATCTGGTGCCCAAGCCTCTGCTCCGCCTCCTCCGCTCAAACTTCCCATGCCTAGAAGTACCGTTGTGGTTGCGTGATGCCAGTTTATTTTTCGGACTGGGAAATGGTTACTAACGGGGCAAAATACCTCCGCAGAATGTTGAGAGCTACGAATTTGACGTTAGTCAATGAAGGCTTGAGGGCTGCTAGCCTAGGTAATCTGAGGTCAATTCGTAGACTCTTGACAAAACTGAACGTCACAAGGAAGTGGAAACCCTTATCTGCGGAAACTTGCAGGAGCCTCGAAATGGCAATATTGCTTGAAACGGAAGGAGCGCTTGGATGGAGGAGTGAAAGGACTCCTTTCGGAAAGGCTGGAGTGGCCACTAATTGGGCTTGCACGAAGGAAGACATACTACTGTGCTGACAGGCTGGCGTATGGATTTTAGTTGCAGCAGTGCCATGGTGCGTAGTACTGTACGTATTCCTCGCTCACAGTTTTTTAGACACCGTGTCAAAACACGCCACCACCACCACCTCATCTTGCGTGTCGAGGAGTGTAATCACCCCTGTACACTATGTAACCCTTCAAGTGTGTCTCAGGTCAAGCGCGTCGACACGAAGTTTGGCCCTCCGAAGACCCGAAAGTCGGCTCAGCTACGGGGAAAGAAAGGTGACGGTGACCCGAGGACCTGAGTGGCCATTGGATGTGACGTTTCTTTTGATTGCGGTATTATTTTGCTGCCCACACACACATCAGAAACCTCATTGCATACATTTCAAGCCTGTACAACTCAGGGAAACCATTTCCGCAAACCCGAAGACTGAGGTTACAGTGAGTCCCCCCACAGTGCAGTAGAGATTGCCAGCCGAGAGTGTACAGTATGTTGAGTGATTCTGTTGCAGTACTGTACGTGTTGGTGCTCCGGGCTTGCTTCGCTGGTGAGGTTCCGGAAAAATGGACGACTGTTGCGCACGTGACGAGTGAAAACCGCGGGTGATGCTGTGATGTGCGACGCTGCGTTGGCGAAGAGTGATGCTGCCACTTCGGTGGGCTTCGTCGCATATGATCAAACCGCACGCGGTTTTCGTTTACTGTAACGAAGTTCGTTCAGAGAACGACATGAATGGGTGGGGTGGGGTGGGCTTGAGTGGTCAGTGAGGACCATTTTACAGCGATTTTTTACTCGCTAAGTGTAGTGCGCCGCCGAAATATCCTGGCCTTTACCCTGAAAACGGCGAATGCCACTCAGCGGGGGGCGCGCAAAATTTACTATTTTTTTACCGAGTGGCCCATCCTGTCCTGAATCCTCATGATACACCTGGAATTTCGTTCACGAAACAGATTCTTTCCGGAAATACCCACAAGAAGCAGACTAGGGTGTTTCCCAACCAGTCGCAACTTCAAACATTTCCTAGGGCTCCAAATAGAGTAGAGCTGTCGTTCCGAGACTTGACTAAGACTTGCTACAAACTGTTTGTTACCTTCTTCCTCTCCAGAATATCCGTATAGCCTTGGACTGTACAGTGTCAGGATCAACGCACTTCCCATCATTCCTCATAAAAATCCCACACCACTGATGATTGAATGCGTGAGTCGCAGTTGCAACCTTGGGTACAGTGCTCGGTGGAATGAAATCGACCCACTGCTGGGCGTGCTCGGACCTGGATGGAGTATATTTGTTAGTCCTAAATCTCAAGGTGTCGCATGAAAATAATGGGTTACATGTGCGACTTATTGCAAGATCTCTTGTTCAACCGCATTATTATTTGTGCCTTGGGCATGGGGAGCTGGGTGAAACGAGAACGTCGCTTACAGTTGTACACTACACGCGAAAAAGGGAAATTATATGGGTAGTCACAATTAGGCCCGATATATCACATTTGGTCACGGGGGTATCACGAACAGGCACAGTACACCTCGTAACTATCGCGTGTGATCACAGTGCTATCACGGATAGTCACACCTTGCCCCGCAAGTCCATCACGTTTGGTCACAGATGAAACGCCCAATCTAGAATTGTAACTACTCGAGTCACTGTAGGGATTCATGGGAGATTTTATCCCGCGCGCCGTTTTGTCCGTAGTATTACGAAAAAGTTTCGCGACAACTCTCGGTAACTCGTTAAAAACATCTGCAATTTCTTCTTTACTATTCGAATGTCCACTGTTCGAACGATGCATAATGTCCCTAAGAATACCACTTTTAGACGGGTGAAAGTCTAAGGTTCATTTTTGCTCCCAGTACAAAAACTAAAACCCGTTCGGATGGGATATAATTCGGGAGCATCAACCCTAAACATCTTGTCGCACAGTGTTTAGGGTTGATGCCTCCCGGATGACGTGCTATCCAGTAGGGGTTTTATTTTTTTCTTCAATTCCCTAAATGTCAGGGCAAGAATAATGCGCGGGGTCACAAGCAATCAAGGTTGGGATTCACTAAAATTTCTACTGTTTCTTTCGTGGCTTCAAATTAATTATGATCGTTTCATCGAGTGACCATACGTGATAGCTTTTCGGGGGGAGGAGTGACCATCCGTGATAGCACTGTGATCACCCGCGATGGAAATCTACTGTACTGTGACTGTTTGTGATACCCATGTGACCAAACGTGATAAAACGGGCATAATTGTGACCTCCTATATAATTTCCCCGCGAAAAAACCGCGGCCTAATTTCCTTGAGGGGGTGGCGTGCAATGCAACAAAAGCCAACGAGCCAGACAGCCAGGTGTACCAGCTGAGCCACATGCCCAGTAGGCGCAACGTCGCCTACCCAGCGACAACCCAACCGAAGACGTGTTGCTCAAACTGTTCATGTCCGGCCAAACAGTGCAAAAAAACGTACACTTGATGCGCGTTAGATGTACGCTACATTTTCCCTGTAAAATGGACTGGAGTAAACATAGGCCTTTTGCATACCTAACAACCTTCGCCACGGGAAAACAAATGGGAATGCAAGTAGTATGCGACTTTTCCTGTGCCTCAAGTGGTAATGCTTTCAAAAAAAACTTAAGAACGGATGGATGGCGATGTGATAAGTTGAGTGGTCAACGGTTGCGATAAAAAACGTGGATCGTACACGATGGGTTGTTGCCCTTGTTCGAACGCACGAGGGGTACGGTTTCTGAATGGGTTTAGAAAATTCATGGGATAGGATTGGGCATCATGTGTACACATAATTTCCAACCTGACAAACTTTCCGCCCGGAAGAGTGCTCTGCATAATTGAAATATCATCGAGACACCCACCAGGGCTCAGCGTGACTGTTATGGACAGAGCTGATGTGGGCGACGTTGTTTGCTGAATCTAGTGCATTTCAAAGTCTACCACAGTCGCATGTGGTTATAATCTATGACTGTAGTTTTCTATTCCTATGCCTAAGTGGCTGCATATGTAAGGATATGCTCAACGTGGAATCAACAAGGAAAATTAGTCCGTATCCCGAGGTATATCCAGTTTTCAGTTAAAGACCGAACACAACATGATTGTTTTGAAGTTCAAGATTCTTAAACTTGCATTCGTAAAAAAAAGAGTTACCCTACTTGGTCTTAAAGAACCCTCACGACCCTGAGACATCGTCTTGCGACGATGGCCTGATTGGCTTATGTGCCCGAAGGCAAAACTGAAGTGATGATCGCCCACCAGCTGCATTATTCACAATTTATGTAACTTGAAAATCAAGTAGTACTTGTCAACTAGGAGGCTCCAGGGCAAAAACTAGCAGTAGTAGGCAAAAGTGAGCCACTAGAATCGTATGTTTCTTCCGAAAAGAAACATACGGTAGGTACCAACCTCACATCATTTTAGCGAGTGCACTCTCCTATCCCTCACCCCAATCTCTTAACTGCTCCAATCACTGGCCCACTCTTGATCATGAACTCAATCGCTCGTCAGCTATATCGCTTGTGTTGACGGTCTTGTATAACACCCCCCTTAGCTTCACATACGTTAGCGTACAATTTTCGCCGTCACTCGCACGCCTTGCTTTCAACTTCGCGTCGCACACTCATGCTCATAGGACGCACTCGGTTCAGCCTCCTTTCGCTCCTACCGTTTTAGTCATGAATCTCTCACGCGCCATCATTTCGGGTCCACGTCACGCACGTTGCCGCTGGTTGCATATGTTTCCCTTCGTCGCACGCGTATTCCCACATTACATACACATCCCCTCATCGTCATCGCTTCCTTGAACTTGCTGCACTTCTTATAACGCATCGCTACCCACCGGGACAAAACGAGGGTGTTATTTAGGCGCAGCGGATGCCCTTAACACTAGCCCACAGGCATTACATTCGTCTCCCCCTGGTGCCAACGTCTCTATTGGCTCTGAACTTTAGGAAGTCCCCCCCCCACAAGGGACCTGGATTTTGCTGTGCAGCTAGCAGCGACTTCGTTGGTGGCTCAAGCCAGCGGAGGATCATTCGCTGCGTTCAAGTTGGTAGCCACATTCGTGTTCTCGCCACCGGCGGAAAATGTGGACCTGTCAGGAGTTTAACCCTAGGCTCTGATACCAGTATATGACTCGCTACCCACTAGACCCCTTTCTCCCTCCCTCTCTTGCTCACTCCCCATCTCCCTCTCTCTCTCTCGAATGGTCGTTGTATTGATAGGAGCGGCAGTATACAGACATGCAGGCAAGTGTATTTGTAGCCAGTCAACTCCTCTAAACAAGGAGTAAAACAAGACAAAAGCAAAAACTCCTTACCCGCTAAGTCCCTCAAAGGGAGTTCCGGTGCGCGTTTCAGAATGGCGAGGCAATCCCCAAGGGACAAGGCCTCACCAGGGGCACCTATTGGAGGGTTCTCTACCAGGGCCGCTAGGTTGCACTTGGTCATGTAGCCGACCGTTTGCCCTCGTTGCAATGCAGCTGGCCACCGTTGGCGGAAGTGGTGTAGCATCTTTTCCACTTGGTAAGTTGAGGGCTCTGTATCGAAGTGCTTACGGGTAGCT